TGTGTGTGTGTGTGTGTGTGTGTGTGTGTGTGTGTGTGTGTGAGCCTACGTGGGAGATCCTTATGAAAACAGAAGGAAGACCAATAAAGTAGAGAAAAGTCAGGGAGTGTGGGGAAGTACTGGAAAATAAAATTATGCTATGTAAGTATGAATATATCATGATAATTCCTGCTTTTATATATAATTATAATGTATAATTAAAATAATAATAGTAGAAGGGAAATCAGTAGAGTAGAGCAAGTGGATCAGGAGGAGGGAGGAGGGAAAGAAAAGGGAAGGTATTAGGGAATGAGATGGATCAAGTTATGTGTATGTACAAATATGGCATAATGAATCCCACTATTAAGTATAATTATATACATCAATAAAAAATTTGAACAAAAAAAGGCACATCAAAACAATATTAGTTACTTCCATGCAAGAACAACAATATATCTGTGGCAAGAGTAACTCAGAAACCTCACTTACTAAAATAAACACACCTATAAGAAAGGTGCTCTCTCTCAATAGCTAGGTCTCTCATCTACATCAGGGACACTCAGACATTCAGACCCTAGATTTTTTCCCATTCTCTACTGAAGAGAATTCCTTGATTTTTTGAGTTTGGATGATCTTAGTTCCTAATACTTGAAATATTAAAATTATCTTTAATTATTCTTTATAGAATTATTTATCAGAGAACACCTAATAGGTATAGTAATTGTGATTGTGTTGTGCAACATTTAATAGGCTAGCAGATACTTCCTACTGATTCATGGTAGGAGATACCACTGTACTTTATAAATTACTAAATTTGAATGTGATAAAGTCTATAAAAGATTAAAAAAAAGTCATTTTAAACTCAAAACTGCCATTAAAGAGGAAAATTACTGGTTTAAGTTTTGCCACCACCCCCCTGTTTTTTTTTAATATTGTCTTTGATGGAGAAAGGTGAGAAATAGAATGGATTCCAGGATTAAAAAGGATAAGATCTAAATCATATTTTATAATTCTTCAAGTAATTTTAAAGTTGACTATATATATATATATATATATTTTAAGCAACAAAAATGTTCCTTCTGTTTTTCAAAGGCTTTATACTTACATACAAAATTTCTGGAAGCTATCTCACAAAAACAAGTACTGAAGACAAATTGTTTTTCGTTTTCATCTATTAGTAGTAATTTTTATTACCTAGCATATGGCAAAAATTGTTGGATTAGCATTATAAGTTTTATACAAACCTATGATATTTCCCAATGCCCACACTGCCTGCTCACAGACATTCTGATGAGGTGAATGAAGAAGCCTCAGGAAAAGTGGCACAGCATCTGAAGCAGGAAAACATGTTCACACTTAAGGCTGAAGACCATACTATAAAACAAAAATTAATCTTGATTTTCTGCTGAGATCTCAAAAAATATACATGTACGCATATGTATATGAATGTGTGTATGGAAATCTATTAAAAAATATATCCTGGCTGATCTCTTTTTAAAGTCAGAATTGCGTTACTGTAATAATTTTTGACTAGCAGTCTCCTTATTCAGTATCAAAAAGAATTTTAAAATATAGACAATTGTCAAATTCAACCTGAACTTAATGTAATGGTGGGGGGTTGGGGAATCAAATTCAGCCTTAACCACCATCTTAATTCCAAAATAAAGATTCCTTAAAAAGTCAATATCACCTACAAATAAAACAAAGATTAAACTTTTAAGAAATTCTGAATATACAAATTTAGTATGATTGTGGGTCCTTAGGACTGTGATTCCTGGGCCACATGAGACTTGAATCAGCTGGTTAATAAAGATGGGAACAACAATCAGATCTGTAAATGAACAGAATAATAAAACACAAAACAAATGATATCTCCTTCCTTCCTTCAGATACCACTTTGAAGAAAACTATGTAGGTGTATGTAAATCAATCATATTAACTTACAATAAAAATTCACTTATCTATTTTTGGTATATTAAGACAGACTAGCAGTGATAAATTCTAAGCTTCTTTCTAATCTTTAAGGATGGCATAAAACAGGAAAGAGCAGAGGTATGAATAATTCTAAGCTTCTTTCTAATCTTTAAGGATGGCATAAAACAGGAAAGAGCAGAGGTATGAATAAGACATTATGAAATCCTAAGTTTACCTGATAGCCAACTATATATAAAAAAAAAGCCAAAACACAAAACAAAACATACTTGAACCCAAAACTAAACAAGTTTTAGTAGGATGTAAGATGATTATTTTTCCTAAATTATAACACACGTTAGAATATAAAATGTTTGCATGGCTAACATCTGCTCCCCACACCTTCAAAACCATTAAGAAATTAGTGCTTATGATTTGAACTAGTTTATACATAGCTTATGTTTAACAATCCTTAAAATCTTTTTAAAAAACGATTACTCTTTGGTAGAAGAATGAAATAGTATTCATGAAAAAAATACACCTAAGTTACTATATCTCATAGTAATTTTCCACTTACAACTCTTGAAATACTCAGTTTTAGAAAGTAATCTAAGAGAAAATAAATGTCAGTCACCTGAACAAGTTGATTAAAGTAACATATTTAAATTAGCTATTTCAACAGCCTTAAACGCTAATGGGTAGCTATTATTTTATAATGTAAATAGTTATATACTTTACTGACTTAAAAATCACAATTTTGTTTGTTAATAAACAACTTACTGGACTGAACCACTGCTTGAGTTTGTTCAGAGGTTCCAGATGCAATATTTGTCAAAGCCCATGCAGCTTCAAACTGTAAAGAAGGACTATAAAACAACAAAATTATTTAAACAGATGATTTTTACACTGACCCAAACATCTACCAATCATTTCCTACCTCTAGCTTTTAATATGTTTAAAATGCATCATCTATCCATCCAGCATTTAAAAACAAAACAAAACAAAACAAAAACCCAAAAAAACCCCAATCACTGTTTAAAACATTTTACTTCTATATAAAGGTGTGTATATATATATATATATAAAACCTCTTCCTATATCCTTATTTTTTGTAATGTATCTTTATTAGGATACTTGTATATTATTCCCCTAGTTTTGTCTTCTGTCCATTTTCAAGCCTTACAAGTTAAATTTATCATTATCAAGTTATCAATTTATCAAGTTAAACTCCTACTTGGCCTTTTGCCTGCATCTCCTGACATTAACTTATTTTGCATTGCTTTTCACTTTTGACTTTAATTCCATCCCACAACCTTCTTTTCTTTAAAGATCAAACTTAAATACTAGAAAATCTTGCCATCTCCAAAGGATATATTCTAAATTTATTAAATAATGTACTTACTTGTCATCTCTTTCAAGACAATGGACTAAAATAGGCAATATTCCAGATTTTATTAAGTCATCAATTGGTGGATTTCGATCACTGGACAAAAGCTTCCTGTAAGATACATAACCTCTTTGTAACTTACTGACATACACAATTATATATTTGGTAAATATATTATCAGATATTAAATATATGGCACAAGTACCTTCTTTGAAAGTTAATTTTTATAATTTATATAATGCAATAGTTTCTCTAATTATAAAGACTAATTTGTATATTAAATTTAGAGATGATCAATAATTAGGAAAATACGATGGACATTTTATCACTTTTATTAATATAATATTATATTCCCTCAGTGAAGTTCTGAATATGGCTTATAACTAAATGTTTTTATATGCTTTACCTTTGGTTTTAATTAAATTTTGGGCTCAGAGAAAATAGTTGGCAAACTTTGACCTAGCATTTACTCTGCTAAGAAAGAAATATAGGTCATTGAAACACCCAAATGATTCATATTAAGTCACAAAAGAGTCAAGGGCAAGAACAAGTAGGCTGCTGATTTATGTTTACAGCTGACACTAGTATTCAATTTTTTATCCTATTCTGTACCCTAAATTGAGTGTACAGAACACTCTCATCTCACCAACTAAAAATGAATGGAATAATGACAGCAATACACAGGAAAATACCCAAAGAGATGCTGGAGTCTGAGACAGATTAGATATATCCCTGGAGCTTATAAGATAAAAACAAACAAAACCCAGCTAATACTTATTTTCACATGTGGGAGACTACAGTTAGCAGATTAAACCCTAAATGTGACCTGACACAAATCTTTACATTGGAATCCCCTGCATTATTAGTATATAAAGAAAAGGCTTAATGGGACTGGGGTTGTGGCTCAGTGGTTGAGTGCTTGCCTCGGACATGTGAGGCCCTGGGTTCAATCCTCAGCACCACATACAAATAAAATAAAGGTATTTTGTCCATCTACAACTAAAAACAACATTTAAAAAAAGAAAAGAAAGGCTTAAGAACCAACACACCTGAGGCAGGAGTGTTGCAAGGTCAAAGCCTCAGCAATTTAGTGAAACCCTATCTCAAAACACAAAAATAAAATAAAAAGGGTTGGGAATATGGCTCAGTGGTAAGCTTCCCTGGGTTCAATTCCTAGTACCAAAACAAACAAACAAACAAACAAAATGAATAAATAAAAGGAATCAGCCTGGTGGCATACACCTTAGGAAGCTGAGGCAGGGGGATTCCAAGTTCAAGACCAGTTTCAGCAATTTAGCCAGGCCCTAAGCAACTTATCAAAATCCTGTCTCAAAATAAAAAAATTAAAAAGGCTGGAGATGTAGCTTAGTTGTAGGATACCCCTGGAGTTTAGTTTAGTTAATTCCCAGAACCAAAAAACAAAACAAAAAAACCCTTAAGCAGCTCATCTCCCCCATGTAAACTGACAGTTGCTTATTTACTACCCTAAGAATATACAATTCCTTGACCTAGCTTTAAACTGCTCTACAAATTGGCTCTACTTTACCTAATTAATCTTACTCTCTGTAACTCAAAAACTCGTTGTCACACCATCACAATCTCATTTTTTGTTTGCTTTTTGCTACTGTGGATTGAACCCAGGAGTACTTTACTACTGAACTATACCATCCTGCCTCAGCCAACTGAGGTGCTGGGATTCCAGGTGCACACTATCACACCTGACTTCTATCTCATTTCTAAGTCCTTTCTTATATCCTACTCCCCTCTCTGTTAATGCCTTAGCACCTCTCTATTCAAATGCTATCTCTTCCAAGTCCATCTCAAGTTCTATGTTTTACACAATACCATTTATCTATTCTAGCATTTACAGAGCACAGTCCTAATTTGCTACTAAGTATCATTACTTTCTATGTAGTTCTGCATTCACAATTAGATTCTAAACTTAAGAGAAAAATTAGATCACTTGGTGTTTTCCAAAACAAAAGGCACAGTAATTACCACAATAGAAATAAAAAAAAATTATAAAAATTGTAACACCAAATTTTTCTCATTCAAGGTTGTAGGAAATCAAAGGTAATGATTTTTTTAAAGAAATATTTTTTTAAATATTTTTTTTAGTTGTAGTTGGACACAATACCTTCATTTTCTTTCTTTACTTTTATGTGGTGCTGAGAATCAAACCCAATGCCTCATACATGCTAGGCAAGCACTCTATCTTTGAGCCACAACCCCAACCCCAAAGGGTAAAGATTTAATAAAAATATTTTACTGCTTCACAAAGGACATAAATGGCTTTTATTCTTTTGATAGGCACGGTGGCACACGCCTGTAATCCCAGCGGCTCAGGAGGTGGAGGCAGGAGGATCTTGAATTCAAAGCCAGCCTCAGCAATTTAGTGAGGCACTAAGCAACTCAGTGAGACCCTGTCTCTAATAAAATATAAAAAACAGGGCTGGGGATGTGGCTCAGTGGTAAGTGCCCCTCAGTTCAATCCCCACTAAGCTCCCTCCCAAAAAAGAATACAGTATATACAACATATAATATAAAACCAGTTTGGTGCCCATCTTGATTTGTGTTAAGGTTCCAGCAGTTTTACCCATAGTTCCTTTTGCAACATCAATGTAAAGGTTACTAACATGATGAAAAAGGGCAAAAAAAAAAAAAAAAAGTCTTAAAATTAGTTTGTTTTTTTATGCCTGAAATTGTCTCAGATCTTTAAGAATGCATAGACTATGCTTTGAGAACCTCTTAAGATGCACTAGGCTTTAATTTTCTTGCAGAGCTCATACACTCACAGAAACTAAACAGAAACTGTTAACAAACAACACTAACAATTTCTTAATTATTAGCCTTTCTGAGATGTGAATAGTTTTGTAGTTTTTCTTCCTACATGCCTTAGTATTCTCTAAAAAGTTTTTTATGTAATTCTATATTTCCCTATTTGTTCTAAGTTATTTAAGGTGAATACACAAAAGTAGAAAGTAGAGCAATACAAAAAGGATTCATGCATTGGATAAGATAATGGATGAATCTGTGAAATATTTTTTCCAGTTTGAAATTGTATTAACTAAGATCAATTTATTGTGTGTCTCTTTCTCACTAATACGGTGGTGTTATTATATTCATAAATATACAAAGCAATTACCATTTGCATAATGGTACGACCTGACTTCCCCCAATTTATTTGTTCATACAGATGCCTTGGTAATAATTTTTTTTTCTTCTGGTTTTTCCCTTAAAATATGAGGGCACAGGATTCACAACAAAAAGGTACAAAATAACTTGGTATTTCTGGCCTGGAAAGACACCAAGAGCATATGCAGCTATATATCTTGAAGTCTATTACACACTGATATAGTATGCTTATAGATATCAGAAAAATTAGCTGACTGTTAAGGGTTTGAATAATATGACTTTTATAAAATAAAGCCTATAAATTAGTAACAGCTAAAGCTTTGTAAATAATGCTTTTCTATTATTCTAAGCAGTAATCTGTTAAATCAACTTTTCCCTAGAATTTCTATGTATTATGTAATTGAAAGATTCACTGTATTTATTTAAGCTCATGAGGATTTAAAAATTGCCACCAATGTTAATACTCTAAATCAGAGAACAATTTTGTGGAATAAATTTAGTTTTTCTATTACTTTTTACTGTTTGTCAAAGTTAAATTTGACTATAACCCTAAACAGTACCCCCATGTAACACATAAAATTTAAATCTGTCTTCAAAACTTAACTTACCTAGCAGCTTGTACTGCACTTAATTGAATTCCTTGGTTATCACTTGAAGCATTCTATTAAAAAAAATAAGACAATTTATGATGGAGAGACATAATAATTAATTGTTGAGTCCAGGAAATACAAAGGGGTGGGGAGAAGCTACTTACCTGAACAATAGCTTCTAGAGAGGTATTTTGCTGGGGGAAAAAAGTTAAAGAGAACAAATAAAGTTAGAAAATCACCTTAGAAAGCTATATTTATATGAAATCTTTCACAAGTTACCAGAATAATAGTAACTTACCACTCTATAATCACCATCTATATCAGAGTCTTCACAGATATCTTCATGTGGTACATTTCTTCTCTTTAAGAGATGTTCATCTCTTTTATTCTTTAAAAAATAAAAATAAAAAAAGAAAGTCAAACAAAGAATTTCTGTTAAAAAAAAAAAAAAAAAAAGCCAAACACTTCCAAAGGTTAGATTTGCAGGATTCAGCCTACAGAAACATGAAGTGTCTTTTAAAACTTAAATGCAAAAAAATTAAACAAAAGTGTGAACCAAACACTTAACTGATACTACTTTAAGTCCCAAATCACAAATATGTATAGTTTTAAACCAGAACCAAACATATATATTTTTACTTAAAAGTACTAAATCATTTTACACATCATCTGGGAGCTTCTTTTTATCACCTAAAAGCAAAGTCAAAGCAAAAATTGGACAATTCAAAATTAGACAAAAATCAGTAATGCCTTACAAAAATCAAGGGCCACTTGAATTTCACTAAAAATGTTTGAGGCAAATTTACAAATATATCCTCAACTACACAATCTACTTTTAATACTTGAAAATTTGATAAAATTTATAAGTAACAAGTTTTCTCAAGGCCTATCACCTATTAATTATTAGAACTATTTATATATCTCTATAACTTACACTTTACCTAAGTTAATAAAAATTACAAAAAATCTGGTAAGTTGTTATATCTACTTTTGCACAGTGGACAAGTCCTATCTTGCCAATTTCAATAGCTTTTCAAAACTAGTCAAAACTTCCTTTTCTAAAAGAAAAAGAAATGTTGAACATCTAAGATTGATAAAAAGCTTAACTATATTCAATCAAAAAAAATTAGTTACACAACAGGAAATATATTTGCATAAAAATATATACTTAACGACTTCTATATATTCTATATTGCTGTTAGAATTATGCCTGGAAGTTATCAGACTTACCTTCCTTAATTCAACTACAACTTCATTTCGCTGTCTTCTCATAGTCTACAAAAAAATAAAAAATAAAAAAATTTAAAATCACCTCAAATTCCATTACCCAGAGAAAACCACTATTAACATTTTAATGCACAACCTAATCTTTTCTTCTAGTTAAATATGCAGATAGTCATATATTACTCATCTCATCATCATACTATATAGGTGATTTTCCATCTTTAGTTCACATTTATATTTCTTTTTAAATTACTAGTATTATTATTATAATACTGGCTATATTATAATTTTAAAAACTGTTACATAAAATTTATTAAAAAAAAACCCAGATTGTCATTCTTTCTAATTTAACCATTCTATCACATCCAGGTACCACTCTTATTTTGTAACAAGTTTTTTTTTTTTTTTTAACAATTTTTTAAGTTAACTAATACATGGGTACATATTCATTTTATTCTTTCTGATAACGCAAATGTCAAGATATATTAAGTGAAAATACCAAATCACAAAGTGATATTTACATGTCTAACAAATATCTCAAACTTATATCCAAAACTGAATTTTTTGAAACAGACTCTACCACCTCAGCAAATAGCAAGTCCATCCTTCTTTCCACAGATCCTAATCCTTGGAGCCACCCTAAGATTGTTTTTCTTCTCATTGTATACGTTTACTCATCCAAAGTTGCACTACATATCACTACCTCCTCCTCCACTAATCTGGTCCAACTAACCATCACCCCTCATGAAGATTACTGCAAAAGTCTTCTAACATATTTCCCTCCTTTTCTTACCCTCTATTTTTGTTCCTCCCCAGTCTACTCTTATCATAGCAGCCATAGTAATCTTTACACAATCTTTTATGTGCTATGGACTCCTTTGGCAGCCTGGTGAAATCAACTGAACATCGTTCAGTGTTTTTAAGTACACAAAAAATTACATGAGATTACTAAGAAAACCAATTATATTGATATAGAGTTATTAAAATATATATTAAAGACAATATGCTTCTTAATTAGTGCATTAAGTGGGATCTAGTAGTGGGTCTAAGAATTTATAATTTCAAAGTAATGATGACCTTAAATGCTACTTCAAGATATCTGCAACAATGTGATATGTACTGGCCATGACAAAGTCACAGGTAACTTCAGTACTACTCTGGTTTGTTGACTACATTATGTGAAGAAACCACTGTTTCAATCAGAAGTTTAGTGAAAATACTCCTAAATTCCCAGGCTATCCTGAATTCTACCCATAAATTCCATGGGGAAAAGGATCCAAGGACTCTTATCAAGAACTACTTGAGGGGCTGGGATTGTGGCTCAGAGGTAGAGCACTCGCCTCACATGCATGAGGCACTGGGTTCGATCCTCAGCGCCACATAAAAATAAAGATATTGTGTCCACCTATAACTAAAAAATAAATATTAAAAAAGAGAGAAATACTGGAAAGTCAGACAAATCCTGTCACTCTCCTTTTCAAAACCATTCAATGGCCCTCCACTTTAGAGTAAAAGCTAAATCTTTACAATGGCTGAAGTTGTTGAATCTTCGCATCTCATTCACTTTCCAATTACCACCACTTAGACTAGTTTCTACCATTCTCCATTCATTTTGCTGTACCCACACCAATTTTGCTATTACTCAAACACACTGGAAACTCTTGCCTCATGAATAATATACTTTGTAGCAATTCCTAAGCAAATGGAATTTTCTGCATGGATTCAATGTCTTAAACATCCTATTTATTAGCTCTCTGCATTTCAGTTTCCTTGTCTATAAAATGGGAGCAGTAAAAATATCTACTTCATAGGCTTACCGTAAGGCTTAAATAAATAAATATTTGTTAAGTATACAGTTCCTGGCACACAGCAGTATATGTGTTAATTATTATACTATTACTTCCTCAGTCTGAAATAGTATTCCCCACTATCTGTAGTTCTGAGTCCCTCACCACTGTTTTGAGGTCTTCTCCTTTCTGATCATCCACAAACTTCCGTCTGGGTACTCTCTCTCCCTTCTCTGCCTCATTTTTCTTCATACCACTTACTACCTTCTAATATAAAATTCTACTATATACTTTCATTTATACTGGTACCTCTGCCACTATACATTTTAACTTCTATATATAAGGAATAACAAGAAACAATTATTATCTTAAATGTTATGACTAATCTTACATGTACATAAGTTTTTTGCTTCAATTTTCTTTTCTTGGGCGGGTATAGGGGATTGAACTCAGGGGCACTTGACCACTGAGTCATATCCCCAGCCATATTTTGTATTCATTTTACAGACAGGGTCTCACTGGATTGCTTAGTGCCTCCTTTTGGTGAGGCTCGCTTTGAACTCACAATCCTCCTGCTTTAGCCTCCCAAGCCATTGGGATTTCAGGTGTGTGCCACTACACTTGGCTCAATTTTTGACCAGACCATTTTATTCTAACTTTGCTTAAGTGAAGTTCTGGAGATCTTCTGAGCTTTGGTACAGATATAGATTTTTAAAACAATGATTCAATTATAAAAATACTAATGAATGAATAATGAAACATGAATAAAAACAATTAGCTAAGCACTACTATAACAGTTCTTAACAGAATTCAAGATGGCAGATTATAGAAAGGCTGCATTTCCAGTTGCTCCATGGGTTGGTATTCAAACTGAAAAAGTACTGCTTCTCAACAAGGTGGGTGAAAAAGGGAATTCACTGAAATTCAAGATCAAACAGAGACTCTTAAGAGACCCAGAAACTCAGATATGTTAACTAAACGACAAGAAAGAGCAAAATGAAGCCAAGCTGGTGGTGGCAGCGCCAGTGTCATCAGTTTGCTACACAGGGGAACACAGGTGAAGGATAACACAAACTGAGAAATACGATGAAGAAATGTGGCAGGGGAGAATCTGTAGAACAGAGAAGCAGTTTCAATTTAGCTGAATGAGTTTCTCAGTGAGCTGGTGTCTGAAAATTGCTTGGTGTTTCTCAATTGGCAAGCAGAGAACTGAGGTGGAGAGAACTTCTAGAGGAGGCAAAAGTTGCAGCTTGCTGCTATGGCAGCATAGGAGATCAGAGCAAATACTGCCATACTGTCCTGGCAAGTGACTGCTGTGTGGCCTAGAGTGTCCCTAGCAGAATGAGATTGAAACTGGCACAGAGAAGATTATACCTAGGGGGGAGACTCAAGTCAGAGGTATGGAGGGGAATGCAACTCATTTTTCCTTTGAGTCTCGCACCTCATGTGACCAGCTGAATAGGGTAGGGAAACTAAACAGGTGGACATGATTATACTCAATGATTACACTCTGGGACTGAGTCAGGGAAGGCAACATTTGTGGATGGTGGATTATGAGAGACTTGTGGAGGGTTAACTCCCCCACCCTATGGAAAGAATTCTTGGGAGGCACCTGAGAACCAGACATTCCGTATAGGTATGTACCTGGTTGGCCAAGGGGTATATGCTGATCTAATCTCTCCAGAACCAATACCATCTGACCAAGTCCCAAAGGTCTGATTAGAGTTAAAATCCAGCCAGAGAATTTCCCACTTAGAACTGTGCAGCAGCTCCACTTTGGGAGTGCATCAATTTGGTCTATCCAGACAAAACGCCAATTGACAGCACTTTCCATTCACTCTACCATATACTGGTGAGAAGGGAAGCTGAGAGCTATTTCAACCAGCTTCAGTTGCAGAAATGAAAAAAGAGGAAGGGTTTAACATCCCCTAGTCCTTGCTCTAAGGAGTACACAGCTTAAGAAGCAACAGAAAGCAGGGCTCTCTGGCACAGGAAGAGAACATACATACATTCCTGTTGAAAGTTTTGACTATATCTGTGGAGACAACTTTTTCATTTTTCATTAAGAGTTTTTTCCTCCCCGCACCCTTTGGTGTTCCTACTGTACTGATTCTAGCATGGATATATATATACACATATAGCCTTGTGCATTTTTTCATACTTTTAGCATTGTCTTATGTTCTTTATTTTTCTTTGTTGTCTTTTGAGGATTGGGGTTTTCTGTTTATTTTGGGTTTCTCATTTATTTCTCTCCTTTCTTCACCTCCTAAATTTCTCCTACTACTTTAAAGCTATCACTTGCCACATTTCATCTGCTTTCTCTCTGTTCACATTTTGAACATTCCAAACTCTCTTCTACCTTCCTATCACGTCTTTTCTCTTAAAAAAGTGTATTTTTACCATCTGGAGGAACTATTTGGTTTATGTAATTTCTGCCTTCACCATTCACGTAGCTGAGGTTATTAGTACTTGTGGATGACATAGTTGACAACTGTTGTTTAATGCCAAATCCAGTTCATTACTATTTATTATTGTTGCTGCTGGCAACTGCTTACCATTCCATTCCTGTTTTTGTGGTAACTAGTATTGTAGATGTTGCAGGAGGCATCAGGTATTTTTTTTATTGCTGTATTGTTCATTACTGTTGTATGTTTACCCCTTTTCTTTGAAGTGCTGGTAATCTACTGGAAAACTTCAAGTTCACGAGTAGAGATTTGCTACTGAGCAAAAAACCCAGCAGAGACAGCATATCTTTCTCTACACACAAACCAACCATGTTCAGACTTCAACAATACTTTAATACAAAAAACAGGGGAGATGAAAACCCCAAATTAATTACCAGGGCCCAAATAGGAACAGTAAGGAGAGGGGGAATAAGCTCCCAAGTCTGATTTGTGGATGTAGGTCTGACCCACTCCTACAGCAAAAACAGAATTAACACCAAGACTGTGGACACAACACCCTTGAGGAATGTCAATCTAAGTTGCTCCCATACTCCTTTAGAATACAGAGTATAAGTGACGAAGAGCAATCAGAGAGGGTCTATCTCACATCCCTGCTGCATAAACACAATCACCCCATCTTCAAGGATACCACTCTTGTGAGAACTCCAGAGAAAGTAGAATTCTCAAACTTTAACCCAATACACACTGTATCAAAATACACTAATCACCACCAAAGAACTATCAAACAAACTACTACAAAATCCACTGGGAAATATATTGAAAAATTCAGAACAACCTGACATCCCAGAACACTTTGCTA